GGGGCCGTTTCTTTCCGGGCAGGGGCGGCGCAGGGTATAAAGGCTGCAGCGCGGGAGCCTGGGCCAGCTTGGGGTTGGCCGTGTCGTGACTTCTGAGCGTCACCAGCAGACCAGGAGACTCTGTTTCGACTACAAGACTCGGGGCCCAGAGCTCTAGCAGAGGAGTCCAAAGGGACCTCCCCTCCCTCCATCACCATGCCCAACTTCTCTGGCAACTGGAAGATCATTCGGTCGGAAAACTTTGAGGATTTGCTCAAAGTGCTGGGTAAGGAGGTGTTCGAGTGCCCGGGAAGGGTAACAGGACTCTGGAATCTTTGGAGGTGAGGTCAAGAACGGAAAGAGGGCTGAAATCTGAGAGTCAGAACCTGGGGCGCTCACATCCTTGGAAAAGGGGCGGGTGGACGCCTGGGTCCCGTGCGTGGGCCCAGCGGACACCCTGATCTGCCCTCTCCGGCGGGTCGCCCACCAGTGCCAGGTCCAGCGGTGACTCAGAGCCTGTTAATCGAGGAGAAACCAGAAGTACGAGGTTGGTCTCGGGAGGGGTTAGCCACGCGCCTGCATCCCCGGACCAGGGAACCTGGGCCTCCGGCATGTAGAAACTGCAGGCTGAGAGCGCAGCGAACCTTGTATCCAGGCAGGGAGGCTGAGTCCTTATCCTCCAAAACCAGCTCCTCCGAGACATTCCAATCTCCCGCCCCTTGCCCCTTCCAGTAACCCAATCTCCTGGGCAGGTTCAGAACCCGGGTGCGCCCTGTTTCTCCTACAAGGTGATCCAGCGCCCCTGCAAGGCAAGCCCCCCTCCTTCCCCTTCTGCACTTTCCACTCGGTTTCTGCACTCCACCCCACCCCCATCTGTGAGACAAATATTTTCCTACTGCAAGCAGCTCCAGAGTCCTAGAACCGCTCAGGATAATTATCACTTTCTTGGATTTCAACAAATGGCTTTGTGTGAAACCCCAATCCCCATTTCCAAAAATCCGGGGCTCCACCCCTTTTCTAGGCAGAAACCAGCTGCTGCAGCGCAGTTGGGTGTGCTAGTCAAAGAGGGGGAAAGCTGGATCCACCCTGAAGGCCCTTCCAACTTTCCCCACCACACCTCCTGGCTGTCCTGTGGTGTGGGATGAGGTGGGGAGTCTAGGGGAGGGAAGAGAGCCAGGATCTGATGGCTAGGGAGACAAATCCTGGAGGAGATGGGTGTTGGCTAAAGAGGCCAGCAGGTAGGAAGAGACCCCAGGCCCTGAGCCTAAGGGTAAGTGCACTCCTACCAAGTCATCTCCAGTCTGTCTGTCTTTCTTTCAATTTTTTTGAGACAGGGTCTCATCATGCAGTCCAGACTAACTTTGAACTCATTATATAGCCAATTCTGGCCTCGAATTCACAGTGATCCACCTGCCTCGGTCTCCAGATGTGCACCACCACCCCTAGCTCCAGGCTTTTTAAAGTTATTTATTTATTTTATTATTATTATTTTGGCAGAACTGGGGATTGAACTCAGGCCCTTGCACTTGCCAGGGAAGCACTTACTCCATTGAGCCATCTCCCCAGCTCCTATTATTTTAATCTTAAGACATGGTCTCACTAAGTTGCCCAGTCTGGATTTGAACTTTCCATTCTGCAGTCTCACTCTTTCAGACTGGTAGTATTCTAGCCATTTGTCACCACGCCCAGCCCTGAGTCAGTCTTTCTTGCTGAAGTTAAAGACAAGAGGACAGAGGTTTTCCCTTCAGAAAACCTAGATGCCACTTCTTCCCCCATCTACTCTGGATTCTGGCCCTTCTGCCCAGGATGAGGCCAGAGCCTGGCACATCCCCAGACCCCAGCTGGAGAGTAAGACCCAAAGCCAAACCCTGCTATCTGCTGAAGCTGTTTGTCCTCCCTACGGGGTCTCTCAGAGCCACGTGCCCTTCTCAGGCCCTGCTAGGGAGCAGATTGGAAACAGATCCTTTAGGCAAACATTGTTCCAAGTCAGCCCAGGTCAACAGGCCAGGCCCCTTGCATGGACAGGGGGTTCGCTGGAGGGCCTCCTCTGATGCTACCCCTTCTTGGGCCCCCCAGTCCCTTCTCATTCCTGTCCTGACCTTTCTCCTGGTGAGCAATGCTCAGGTGTTTGGGGGGATATCGGTCAGCCTGGTGTTCATGGTCCATAGAGCATATTCTGCTTTTGTAACAGGGAGGATGGGTTAATGAGGTGGGCTTGCAGGTAACCTCTTTGACCAGAAGGTGAAGTAGGGTGCATCTTCTCTACTGAGTTGATTGGACCCGATCAGTAACAGCAGAGAA